TTTTTTTTTTTGTAGTCCTGTATTAATTGTACCCTTACACTGCTTTGTTTTTTTTTCTCTTTTTCCTTTTAAATAAAATTTTAAAAAAAGAAAATATGCAATCATACCGTTAATAAAAATGAAGTCACAGGAAATTGCTCACAGGAAGCTGTCATCTCTCTGCACAGCCTCAAGGTGGCAATGCTGACTTAGATCAGAGTGAGGGCTCACACAGCCCAAGACAAGCTATTCAAAAAGTAAAAGAAAATCATTTCCCTCTCCTCTGCTTCAGCTTACTTGTATATCAGATGTCAATTCATGTATGTATCTACCCATCAGTCTAAACAATGGCTGTCAGAATCACAGCCCGTCAGCTTCACACCTTGAAGCTGCTGGAAAATCTCTTGCTGTCACTGCCTTACAGAGGGAGCATTTTCTGCTCTCGAGAAAGGGTCCACATCTGCCCTACATTTTGATGCTATTTGTGGTTTAGACATTTACTTGAGGTCTTGGAACACAATAACCACAGATAAGGGGGACATGCTAAACACAGAAAAACCTTAAGCAATTAAAACACTTTCTACCTGACATGGCCACCGAATGGAACTGGACAGACTGAGGGACCTGCACCACTTTCTCCTCCTGGATTATGATGATGGTTTTCACTCCCCAGGGGCCTGCAGCTGGTGCACACATCCTCAGCTGAGATCAGCCCCTCACTAGCCATAGGCACATCACAGGGCCACCGCGGCAGTGTCTTCACAGGTTCATGTTTTATCTGCCCTGGCAGAGTCTCAAGTACACACAGTTTGACTTCATAGATTTGGTCTTCATTTTGCATTCTTAAATTATGCTTCCTCTGACACAGAAGCCTGACTTAGAACTAGCAAGGTAAGTTCATAGGAGGACTAGGTCAAAATAAATATTAAACTCCAGTGTTCTGGTTCCCGGAGAATAAAAACCAAAAAGAATAAAAAGAAAATAAAGTCACAAAAAGTAAAGATATTCTTGGTGAGGATGCATCTTAGCTGTGCGTCTCAAGATTATTTGGTTCTGTCTTAGCATAAGGTGTTCCTGCAGGCAAGTGCAAACACTTTGCTTACAATCAATAATAGCAGGGCAAAAGAAAAAAGAAAAAAAAATCAGTGAATGCTCATATGTAATAAGTAGATGTCAGGGAAAACATGAAGCTATGGTTTCCATTCATCTAAGTCCCTCCAAGTTCTTGAAGCTTGGAGTGTGGCTTAGGACTCGCTCTACCCTGGAGTGTCCCCAGCAGGTCTGAGAGCACTGTGTGCCTGCTGGAGGATGTCTTCAGGTCAAGCTGTTTTATGGGGTTGCTCAAGTTTTTTATTTCCTTAAAATCATTCTGCCCAGTGTATCTACTATTGAAAGTACTGACGTCTCCCAACTGTTATTATTGAATTTCTGTTTCTCCCTGTAATTCTTTCAGCTTTTTCTACATGTAGTTTGGAGTTTGTTGTTAGGTGTCTGTACATGTTAGCTGTTGTAGTTTTCCTAATTGACTTACTTTTTATCATGGGAAGTGATCCCCTCTTTATCTTTAGTAACTTTGTTGAAGTATGTAGGAACATTAAAACACCTCCGATTCCCATAGGGCTGCTGTTAACATGCTACAACTTTTCCTAAGGTAAACTTACTTATGCCTGCTACAATTTGTATCTGGAATGTTCTCCCAAAGGCCCGTAACTGAGGCTATTTGACACTGCAGTGAGGTGGGACCCAGTGTGTGTGCCTGCCCTGGATGAGTGAGGGACACTGGTTCTTCTTGACTGTGTCCTGGTTGCCAGGAAGTAAGTGGCTTTCTGTGCTGTGCACGTCCACCATGGTCCATGGCCTCACCAAGACCTAAAGGCAAAGAGGCTGTTTACTGTGCATTGAAACCTTCCCAACGGGCGGCTTTAGTCATTTTGTAGGTGACAGAAGCAGACTAACACAAAAATTCTGACAGTAAGATGACCCACATATCACAGCATTCAGGATGTGAAAAAATTAGATTAGATTAAGTTTTATAACCCATATTGTTTCACATTCTAATTTAAAATTCATTAAGCAAGGATATGTTTAAAGAATTAGTTGCTCATAAATGTGAAATATGAAAAAATACAAAAATTTCTTTTCTCTAAACTCTTTTCTTGTCACTCCCAAATCTTAGGAGAATGGAAGGGATGTGAGTATTAAGGAAATTAAAACCACTTGGCATTGTCAGGAAACAGAGCTGGGTGATCAACATGATTTCCTGGAAACACTTTTATATTCTCATTGATTATCTTTATTTTACTTCTCATTAGTGAGCTTGTGACACATAATAAACAGGATGGAAACAGCACGGACACCTCACTTCTGGGTGGTTCTTACTTCCTCTTCCTTTCTCCTTGCTCCATCTCTGCCCATCCTCAGACAGTCTTGATCTTTGCTGAAAATTAATTGGACAAGTGTATGTGAACCTGTTTCTGTGTTACAGCTCATGTATAGACCTTTGGGTGTCTCTTTTACCATTAGTAAACTCTGTAGATTACTGTTCTGTATACTATATCTTGGTAGGATCTCTTCCCAGTGTCCCCTTTGATAACTGTCTTGGTTACTCAAGTAGATTTGCACTTCTGTGTAAATTATGCATTCAGCTCAACAATTTATATATGAATATAATGGAATGTTGAGTAATGTATTACAAAATTTTTAAATGATGAACTTAAAACTATACTGAGTCTTCCAATTCATGAATATATCTCCTGATTTATTAAGCTTTCTTTATGCTCATTGGTCAGAAGTTTTGAATATTTTTCAGAACAAAAAAGCCAGGAACTGGAAAAAAAACTATTTGAACCACATATGTTATTCAAAGAATTTTACATATAATATGTGAAGAGTTCTTGAAAAACAAATAAATTTTAAAATGAACAGGTGAGATTTACTACTTCCCTAAGTGACTTTTAGGATACTTAGCAGAAGCTCGAGATCATTGATGTCACCCTTTTGAGGTTTTCAATTGTCTCATGAGGGGTGGATTGTCCTCTCCCACCCACTAACACTAAGACTAAAACCACTAGAACTAAACTAGGACTGCCAAGACTAAGACTATAGATTACTGACCAAGGTTAATGGTGTCACCCACTTGCCCACACACCAGTGGATTAGTGTCACTTAAGTGACTATACTTGCAATCATATTTTTAAACACAATTTTGATCCCTGTTGTACCTGCCTCGTGGTTTTACTCTATAAACTTCATTTGAGAAGTGGTCTCATTGGCAATCCAGTTAAGACCTATCCTATTGATATAGGGAAAGAAACTCCAGCCTGCTAGACATCCACTACAAGTTCATATTCTCTATAAATAATAAATTATAGGAGCAATGGAAATTAAGAGCAGAATATATTCATTGAGAGAAACAAAGCTTCTATCCAAGACAGTGACGGAAGGAGTCCTAAGTGTGTTTCTCAAGATCCCACCTTTTCTAGGGATTTTTAGACACATTTTTAGACCACAGAGTGAAGTGGGTTCAAGCTGGGGGAAAATGGGAAATCACAAGGTGGGCATGAGTTGGGACAGAGCTATGGAGAACCAATAATATTATGAGTATAATTGTGGAAAAAATTGATTAAGTCAGAATCAAATGGGGAAGAAAGTCACATAGCAAGCAAGTATGAATATATAACAGGGACTTTTCCCATAAGGGGTTGGACAGTGGCTCCTTATGGCTTCTTCAAAGTGATCAGACAGACTCCCCAACTCAGCGCTCATGGTACATTCAATATTCCACCCCCCAAACCACATCTCTAAGGCAGCTGCTTCCCTGCTGCTGATGGATTCTGCGCCTGGACTGTGACGGGCACAGCAGCCAACTCAACAGGAGAAAAACCCAGTTACCAGCCTGCTCCCAGGGTGCTTTGTGCACCCACACTCTCCATCTGCTGAGGTGCAAATAATTGCAAACCAGAATATTGGCATCCTGTCACCACTCAGGTGAAGTGGAATGGAGGAGAAACTCAAAATAATTATAAGCACTTCTTTATAACATTCATTGATCTGTTATTACAACCTGTATCAAGAACTGGAACTATCTTAGATAATTCATACGCACTTTTCTTGGTTTCTAGTTGCCTTTTAGTCACTTTAATTTAATTTATCTATTAAAATAATGAAGGAAAAGGAAAAACAGCTAGGTCTCACATGATCACATAGTAGGATGCAAAAACTCAGTCACCATTATCAATAGTGTTCACATGTTCTGTGTACTTTCCAGAACAGATAATAGCATGTATCACAGAAAGACCTGGCATTCTCTTCATGAGATTAGTAGTAAGATAAGAATTTGGATCAATATTGGACTCAATAGTATAGAAAATGTGGTAGAATAAATCTAACATACATGATCTAAGAAGTATAATTAGTTTTGTGCAAGAAATCGGTATGATTATACTTATAGTATTAAAAGATAGTAAGTAAAACTCATTATCCAGGTTTGAAAGAATAGAATTTATTATGCTTATAATTTAAAAACATACAAACCCAAAAGAGTTTCACCTCCAAGGACTGTGGGATGGAATTTTACCACATGATTTAGATACAGTTTTATTATCTGTAAAATTGGAATAGATACTAAAGCTCCATAAGGAAAGAGGAGATAGAATAATTGTGTTGCACATGACTTCCTTTTACAGAAAAGAAAAGACCTATGTGGAGAAGAATAAACATTTGTCAGTTTAATGACAAGTCAGATGATTAATAGGAAAGTCTGGGGCTCCTGATCATTTCACTATAAATGTGTCCCTCAAACTAATCTATGGAGTAGCATCTCCATGCGTTAGCCAGCTCAATCTGCAGTTCCTTTCAGCTCCAGCTCTCAAACTAACTGCTTTTCTCAGCGTCATTTCTAAGAACTTCCTAACTGAGCTCCAGTGGAAACAAGGGTAGACAGAAGATCAGTTGTTTCTCATGTGTGTGCAGACCCTGTGGTGTATGAACCTGAGAACCCCATTTCCTGTTTGGGGGAGTCACCTAGGAGCTCAAGAATTACTTAAATGTGCAGTGACATGCACCGAGGGGCCCTGAAGCCCGAGTGTGAGGCCGAAGAAACACACTGTGCAGAGGGACAAAGACACATGTCACTCTCCATCCTGCTGTGGGTGTCCGTGGCCTTCATCTGCACTGGTATGGATGGTGCAAATATATTCAAGATTGTTAGGGATGAAGGGCATAAACACAGATGAGTGCTTCACACAGTCCAGGGAAGGAAAGGGGGATGGGAGAAAGCAAGGAACCATGACTTCACTTTTGTTTGTGGGTCCTAAATTAGTCTAATTTTCACAATATTTTATTTATTATATCATGGAATCAGCTGTCTCTGATTGTTCCCACAGGATCCAGTGTGGCCCAGAAAGTGACTCAAGTCCAGCCACCCATATCCAGACCAGAAGGGGAAATGGTTACCCTGTACTGCTCCTATGAGACAACCTGGAACTTTTATTATCTTGATTGGTACAAGCAACTTCCCAGTGGAGAGATGGTTTTTATTATTAGTCAGTATTCTTCAGATTCCAATGCAAAGAATGGTCGCTATTCTGTCAGCTTCCAGAGAGCAGCTAAGTCCATCATCCTCACCATTTCAGCCTTACAAATGGAAGATTCGGCTATGTATTTCTGTGCTATCACGGAACCCACAGTGTTTGAAATGAGAGTAAAAGCTGAACAAAAACTCGGGAGCTCCCTAAGAGACAGGCACTGCTGCAGGAGCCCAGCTGAGACTGGCTCCGCAGACCCCAGACAGGAAGGGAGCATGGCAGTTTCTTCACTGTGGTCTGGATCAGAGGATTAAATTCTAAGTAAAACCTGCTACCGTCTCATTTGGAAACAGGTGTCTGGGGCAATTTTTCTGCAGTACTTTCTGTCTTGGATTTCTGAATCAAAAGTAGATCATCAGAACATATCTAAAGATGTTTCATGTTCAATGCTTGCCCCATAATAAATGGAAGTGTCAGTTTTACTTTAAAATATGCACAGTCCAAATATAGGTTTAATGAACTGAAACAGCAACAACATAATTTCCTTAGTATTTTTAAGCTCCCTGTTTGGTACACAGGAGCAGAGTCACCATGAATGATGCTGAATGAGAATAATTATAAGGATGAGACATCACTCACTAACTTTCCCTGGAAAGGAGCCTCAATGAAGCTATTATTTGTATAACAATATTGAGCCTGAGTTGACTGACGGCCAACTAAATTCACACTGAGGAAGAAAATTTGGATGAGCACAAGCACGTGAGTGAAATGTGACTTGTGAGAACGTACTGGGACCTGTGACATCAAGTGGAACCTACAAACTAAAACGAGTCTCTACCCTACTCCTTCAGTGTCAGTGGGTGGCCATCAAGAGAAGCAGTGCCATTTGCAGTGATGCCATATACATACATGGGTCCAGATAGAGGTGCTGGAGGAGGACCTGTGATGGAAAGCCAAGATGTGCCAACGATAAGATAAGCCAGAAAATCATTACCAGCTCAGGAGCACTGACCTAAGTCCTGAGCACACAAGGACTGGCTGCAGCCTCTCACCCACCTTGCACGTGCAGCACCATTTCCTTCATAACCAACCTTAGAGCAGCAAAGCACAGTGAAGCAAACTCTAAGAAATCTGTTTCTAGAGAGTTAAGTGGAGGCAGTGCAAAGCTACCCTAAGTACCCCCTGTCATCTTGGGGTAAGCACCTCTTACAAAAATACTTAAAAGTTCAGACAAACACAGCAGAACAATTACAGTAATAGGATGCAACTATTCCTCTGTCCGCCGTAAACAAACTAACCACTCCTAGTTAGCGTATGAAGTTTGCTTACCCATCTGTGGTGACATTTGTGCCTTTCTACTTGATATTCTATAGCTTACTGTTGATATTCTGTAGCTTAATGGCTGAGACACAGTGAAACATGAGATGAGCCTGCACCAGACATCTTATGCCTCTATCTGCAGTTGAATGAGCAGAGAGTAAATCATAGTTATTATGGGATGTACCTAAATATGTTCACATCAATGTAATATTTCATAACTTTTGCAATCTAGGTCTCTCCAAGTGGACATACAGTTGCAGCTGGCTTTTACAGCCCTCCCTCCCCAGTGCTCTGCTCACTGTGCTCACAGGTGCCCTTGACTTTCCATAAAATAAGCTGCTCAACAAGGGGCAGTGCTGCATGAATGCCATAAAGTCAGCTAAGAAACTCTGTGAATCTGTGACTGGTTTCAGCAGGAATCACAGACAAGTGAGTGAAAGCAAATCACACTTGAGAACAGCAATAAAATCTTTGCAACACCCAGAGGAAGCTCATACAGTGGGTTCTGAGAAACAACATTAAGGATAAGGCCTCAGTTCTCCTTAGGAGTAACACAGTTCAAATAATAAAAAGTGTTTTGAAAGTTCTTAAATTTAAATAAACTTTCAAGGTGTTTCTCTATGAACATAACATATATTTAAAATTTTCCTTGGTGAAAATCATTTTTAAGCCATGTCCATTGGACATACCTGTGATCTCTGCTGCTGGGGAGTGTGAGGCTGAGGAACTGCATTCGAGGCCAGTCAGGGAGAACTTAGCCAGACTCTGCCTCAAAAAAGAAAGAAAACAAAACAAAAAACAAAAAACAAAAAAAAAAAAAAAAAGAAAGAAAAGTCATGGTTAAGTTTGTGGAAGGTCCAGTGAGATAATGAAAAACTGTATTTTCAATGTGTGTTTCCTTTCTTAATTACTATTATTTTAAGAGATGAAGTCACTGTGATATCCAGGCTTCCTTCACATTCTCCTGCTCAAGGCACTGTCCTTCCTCAGTCCCCTTACCAGACTGGCCTATGGGCATGCACTGGAACACCAAGCTCCGCCATGTGTATTTCTGAAAAAGGGCTTACACAGAATATACACAGATATTATAAAATTAGTAGAAAAATAACCATCAGTCAACATTTTGAGAAATACATCCTTCAGATTTAAAATACTTAATAGCAAATGTCTTTAAAGGCACCTAATATTACACAGAACACTGAAGAAAATGAAAACTTTACCAAGAAACTGAAATCTGATGTTTGCTTAGGTTACTGTATGTGAGGCTTAGTATTATACAGTTCAGACACATCTAATTTAAACACGGAGAGCTAGGTTTTGTTGTTTGCATTTACAACGTTCAGAAACGAGATAATGCTTTTCCTAGTGTGGAGGAGCACCTCTGACTTAGCGTTAGCTCGTGTCCAGAACCTGGAGGTTCTAGCGTGCAGAGTTCTGCTTATAAAGAAACAAGGACCTCATAGCAGGGTTGCTGATGTCTCTGTATTTTTTGGTGATATTACTGGGTCTCCCCGAGGCTGGGAAAATAGTTGTCAAACTTAGGTACAAACTGACCAAGGCTCAGTGCATTTAAAAGCCACCCACTAACCAATCAGGAATGCTGAGCGTATTGCAAATCTTTCCTACCACACTGTGTTGGTGAGTGGCAGGAGCTGGAGGGAAGCTAGTCCTGAGACACTGTGGGCACATTCCCCCATCAGGACCTTTTTTTTTTTTTTTGTACAGTTTTTTTTGTTCTTTTTTCTTCTACCGGGGATCGGTACCGGCGAGGGAACACAGGACCGCCTGCTTGCAGGGCAGGTGCTTATGCTGCTGAGCTAAATCCCCAGCCAATCTAGACCTTTGTCCCTTGTCTCGGCCCTGCCTGAGATTCTTTACCCCAGGTGTCTGTATGGCTCGTCTCTGCGCTTTCTGTTTATCCTCATTCAGTCGTCACCTCCCTTTGAAATCTTTGCCTAGCTGTATCTATTTCTCTTCTCAGAGAATCAAGCTCTAGCCCTGTGTGTCCAGAACTGAAGCAGTTCTGGCTAAAACTCTGCCACCTGGTGTCCAGATAAAGTATTTTGAGGCAGTCAAACTAGTCTCCTTGTTACCCTCTAGTGTTCACACGTTAAAGGGAAACCTTTCTCAAAAGGAGCAGCCTTTGTTCAACCAGCCTGTGTAACTGTGAGAGCAGTAATTATATGGGACAGGACCCAAGAAGACGAGCTGGTTGCTGAATTATTATAACGCTAGATGTGAAAGTGATAAATAAAATATATGGGATGACTTGGGGTGGAGAGCAGCAGGATACTCTGACTCCCAAGCTCCCACTGCAATACCAAAGTGCATTAATATTTTACTAACAGTAAGAACCATAATAGGCTATGAAATCTACTTGGTGAATTGTAAAATACACCCCAGAAAGATACTGTGAGCTTCATTTTGTGGGTAAACTCTGGGTATTAGAGGGCAAGAGGGGACACGGGTTTTTAGGGGAGAGAGGAAAAGAAAATCAGTACCACTTTCTTGGTTTGAGTATAAACTGTGCCAGGTCGTGAGGATAATGTGAGTTATCACTTGGATAGTCCTTTGCACCTGCATAGTTTGGGATGTATTCCCAGTCACCCCAAAAGGGGATGATGTCAGGCAGAATGAGCTCATACCCTTCAGTTGGAGGGTGGGGTGGGGAGAGGTGGGGGGAGGGAGGGAGGGACAGAGAGAGAGGTTACACAAGCAGATTAGAAGACTTCATTTTATTTAAAATATTAGGATGAAAATTCTGAATGAAGTGTCATCCTGTTTTCTCTACTAGGTCTCAGGACCAGGCTTCCCACAATTGCTGGAGACACTGAATGTGCCCTCTTTGTGTCTCTCTGGTGAGCAAGTTTTAGTTGCATCTGATCTGGAGTGGGGTACAGCGGCCTGGAGGAAACCTGCTGAGGTCACTGCTCACTGTCCTGTGTACAGCTCCACACTTCCTCCCATTTCTGATTAGAGGGAGCTGGCACCCCTTATCTCCAGGGCTTTCATGTGTAAACACTGATTTTCTAGAACTCTAACAGCTGAAAAGGTAAAGCTAAAAGTTGATATGTTTCAGATTGGGGACTGGGAAAAAGTATGAAAAGATTTTTGATAGGTTTAAAAAGTCAAGGTGCCAGTACATCAGGCTTTGCCAAGGAAAATGTCACTGGAAAGGATCCTAAAAGGTTCACAGTGCAGATATGTGGAACTCAAATCCATCCTAGCTATAGAATCAATATGCAGGTTTATTGACTGCCATCACAGAAAAACAATTTTCCGGAAATATCAAAAAGTGGCATAAACAGATATTTAGGCAGAATTTTGAAATTACATTCTCACATAAATAAAGCATGAGCATTCAAGAGAGAGGGATATTATTTTTGGGACTGGGAACATTTATGTTTCTCTTGAGGTGGAAATGTATGGAAAAGATGGCCAACACCTTAAGAGCTCAATGACTCATTTTACAGTTGAAAGATTTTTTTTAGATAGGTATTTTAAACATTGTTTATATTATCTCAATCTGTTTGTTTATCTTAACATCAGAATTCTAGTCTTTATTTTCTCAGCCTAACTCTTTTAATGGATTTACTGTATTCCTAAGGCGTATTGGGGATCATGGGTCTGGAAGGAATGAGGCATGAATTAACCAAGGAAATGCCAATCTAGGTAACTTTGGGTAATTCTGACCATGTCTTGGAAATGGAAGTCTTCTTAGAAGTACAATTTTTAAAAATTATGATTTTCCTTGTCTCTTTTCCACCTATCTTTATGTCTTCTATCTTATCTCATATCTGATAAATTTACTGCCTTTGACAGGTACTTAGCTCTTCCCCAAGGGTTGTTCTAATCCCTTGAAGGCGTGTTCTGGAGAGAAACCTATTTGATCCACTTGGCTGGGCTTCATGTTAAGTCACCTCTTTAGGGTCACACGACTCTTCTGTCTCCTTCCACTGCCGGTCCTCTCGAGGTGTTTCTGCTCAGGCTGCCCTGCTAGCCTGACACTAGCAGACAGTCACTCTAAGGTAACACAATGCCTGGTCCAGAATCTTCAAAAGTTGCTGTTCCAGAAAAAACATTTAAGTGCAAGAATTTCTTACATGTGCATGTGAACAGTCATTTGCAAAATTTAATTGTAAAGTCCCTTTTTGGGATAGTTACAAAACTTTAAATATAGCTGGAGAATTAGATAAAATAAGTTTATAAGTGAAAGGCAGATTTCCATTGAGAAAGACAGAATATCAATTATTGAAAAGTTCATTTTCAAGGCTCAGTCAGTTGATAGCTCATGAATAAATGAAACTAAGCCTTTGAATGTTCACTGTGATGTATCTGGAGAACACTGAATGCTAATGCTTCAAAATTGCTTTCAATTCTAGAGCTCAGCGCAAATCCACGTATGTCCAGCCACCAGACACTGCTGTCTGTCCTGACTTACATTTCAAGTCTTGTAGACTGAACAAATTAAGAGGATGAACTTCTGTTATAGCAGAACTGCATAAATGACTATTTGTTGAAAATGTAAACTGACATAGGAAAAACAACTTTAAGCAGCTGTGTGTACATTCACACACTAGAGGGAAGAGAAATGCTTTTCTCCAGTACAGTGTAGCTGAAAATTTAATTTCCAGTCCTTCCTGTGCAACTGTGGAGGATGCACCACAATCAAGCTGTCATCTCACTGGCCATAGGTCCATCAGCTTCCCTTGCCAGAGCACCTTCTTCTCCTCAGGCTTGGGAGTCTCTGAGGACAGCACAGCAAGTGTGGACACCTCCTCTGTCAGTCACTCCATACCGGGTCATCAGTGGGGATGTGCTCTGGATGCAGGGCACCAGAGCATCCACAGCAGCTTTGCTGGGAAGAATAATCAGGTGCCCTAGACCATGTCCTCCCACCTCACTCAGCAAGAGGAACTCAGCTCTGGGTGGTGGGATGCATGACTCCAAGAACTCTGGATTTTTGACTCTGGATGCTTTTCGGGTTCAATCAGGTGTCTATCAGGGCTGTGAGAGTCTGTTAGTTGCTTTCTTTGAAGAGCTTAGCAAGGCTTTTCAAAATAGGACATGGGAATACGGTTAATGGCACTGAAAACATTTCATTTTTCTCTTGTGAGTGTGCTGAAAGCGATTGTTTTAGGTTTTCCTCAGTTAGCTTTAGGTTTGAAAACTTTAGGTGTCCTACAGATGATTTCTTTTTCTACCCATGCATAGATGTCCTGCACATTAATTAGTATATAAGATATTAAAAATTCTTGAAATATTAAGACACCAAATCCTCTGATTTCCCTGTAATCAGTCATAGAGGAGAATACACGATTAGAGCAAATGGTAATTTTCTTATGTGAGTGAATTATCTATGTTTGCTTTGACAGGAGGAGTCAAAGCAGTTGATATTCAGAACAAAGACAGCTCTAATCAGTATGTCTTTGGTATTCTTTCCCTCAGATTTTATCCCATCCTCTGCTGGAAACTCACAAGGACAGAGGGTATTGATCTACCCTTTCCCTCAGGGTACTAAGGATTAGGGACCAGGCCAGAGGCCTGAATCTGGGGTCTCTGGATGAATTTGCCTTTATACTACCTGCTTACGTTCTGGCTTACTTTCCCTTTAAAAGCCCCATGCCCTGCTAGGCAGGGCTCTGACTGTTGTAGACAAATCCTGGTCAGGAGCCCTCAAGGTAACAAACTGTCTCCCACATCTTCTGGTGCTGTTTTTCCTTTTGGTCTGCTTTCTGCAACAGTGCAATTGAAGGAACTTCTTTAAATAGAAGATACTTGATTTATCTCACATTGAAAACTTTGTTTCTAAATATATTTTGAGGTGAACATGAGCAAAGGAATACTGTCCAATTACAGCTGAAAAGAAATATAGGAAAATGACAAGATGAAAGACCAAAATGCAATCTCTAACCTCCAGCCCATACCAAGAAAATCTAGGAAACATTTACATAGTAGAAAATGTAAGCCATATACCTGAAATACCTGAAATGATAGCAACTGAAATAAAAAGCAACTCCAAGAAGTTATAAAGGGACTAAAATTAGAAATAATGTCCCAAGGCAAAATAAGAAGTGATAAAAGTAATGAAAGAAATGCTGACTACATCTACAGAAGACAAAGTTAAAAATTAGAGGAGCAATGCAAAAAGATAGAATCCCTGGATGAACAACATAAGAAACAATCAGAATACATGGAGCAGATTCAAAGAGATATCAAAAATTCCATTGAAAGTTGCCAAAACCACCTCAACGAAAGTGAAGATAGAATTTCAGACCTCGAAGACAAGATTGTAGTGAGTGAACAGGAAAGGAAAGATCTTTTAAAAATAACAAGGAATCAAGAAATAACAATTCAACAGATGAAGGATGATGCAAAGAAAAACAACATGAGATTGATAGGGTTAAATGTAAAAGAAGGGGACAACACAAATGGTATCAAGAGGCTATTTACAGAAGTTATAGCTGAAAATTTCCCATTCGTGAGAATGGAAACTAACATACAGATTAGTGAAGTGTATAGAACTCCAAATAGCCATAACCAAAATAAAACTATATCCAGACATAAAATAATCACCATCCCAGAAATCCAACATAAGAACAGAATACTAAAAGCTGTTAGAGAGAGAGAAAAAAATTCACCTATAAAGGGAAACCTGTCAGATCCAGCAGATTTCTCAACACTAAGATTGAAGTCAAGAAAATAATGGAGTAAAGTATTTCAGATCCGAAAGGAAAATGATTTCAAAAAGAATGGTATACCCTGCAAAACTGTCTTTCAAAATGGAAGGAGATATAAGATACTTCCATGACAAAGGACAGCTGAAGAACTTCATGATCAGCAAGCCAACTCTGCAAAGAATACTGAAAGACAGTTCAGATACACTTAGGAAAAAACCAATAAGCAAAGCAGACAATTAAACATAACAGAAAGATAAAGATGCAACGGCAGAAAGACAACATATCAAAAATAAACCAACATATCACAGTTATAACCATTAATGTAAATGGTCTCAATGCACCAATTAAAAGAAACAAACTGGCAAAATGGATCAAGAAACAACATCCAACCATATGCTGTCTACAAGAAACATATCTAACCCAAAAGGATACTCACAGACTGAGAGTCAAAGGATGGAAAACAACACTTCACACAACAGGAACCCCCCCCCCACCCACCAAAAATAGCAGGAGTAGCCATTCTATTTGCAGACACTGTGAACTTTAAACCAATAATGATCGGAAGAGATAAAGAAGGTCACTATATACTCTTTAGGTGAAAACTCCAAGAGGAAGAGAGAACTATCTTAAATATATATGCACCAAATTCCAGAGCACCCAGTTATAAAAAACAAGTATTAACAGATATGAAAAATCAAATTATCAGTAACACAATTGTAACAGGAGACCTTAACACACCACTGGCACCAAAGGACAGATCAATCAGACAGAAAATCAGAAAAGAATTACAGAACCGAATCACACCTGTGAACAAATAGACATACACAGAATGTTCCACCCAACAACATCAGAATACACATTCTTCTCAGCAGTACACGAGTCATTCTCTAAAATATGCCATATATTAGCCCACAGAAAATATTTAAATAAATGCAAAAGAGTTGAAATTATCCCTCGCATGTTATCGGATCATAGCGTTTTGAAATTAGAAATTAATGATAAAAGATACTGCAAACATTCCACAAACACATAGAAACTGAATAACGCAGTCTTGAGTAATCAGTGGGTCACAGGGAAAATTAAAGAAGTTAAACAATACTGACAAGCAAATGAAAATACAAATACAACTTACCGGAATCTGTAGGATTCAATGAAAGCTGTCCTCAGAAGAAATTTTA